GCCGTGGCCCCGCCCCCCAAAGCCGTTGACGCTCGAGCCTTCCTGTCCACCTCGTTTCGGTTGCTCGGACTGCTTTTGCTTCCTGTCCCTCTTCCTGAAAATAAACCAAATCTGAGTTCATTGTGTCTGCCCGTGGGTCCTTTGCCCATCTCAAGCGAAGCCCAACAACTGTTTATTGTTGTATGACGCTTTTGCTTCCTGTCCCTCTTGCTGAAAATAAACCAGATCAGATTGTGTCCGCCTGTGGGTCCTTTGCCCATTTCAAGCGAAGCCCAACAACTGTTTATTGTTGTATGAATGATTTTGGCTCCGTGTGCAGCACTCTGCATACAGCGGTGGTTGTGTTATGGTCGAGCGCTCCTAAAAGTTCACCCATACACGGGATGTGTTTTTTTTTTTATCTTGCTATTGTAAGTTGAGGGGCTCGTAGGTTTTTGAATGGCTGGCTCTACGTTAGGAATGGGCAAAAAGGAGAGATGGACTTCGTTTGAACGCAGCTTTTATTTTTCTCAACGTCTGCTTCGCAAGTCCCGAACGAACACACCTTCTTCCGGTAACGAAAACACTTCCTGCTTTTCTTCGCCAATCAGATGCAAGCAACATAAGAATGTTTCAGCAATTATTAAACAGAATATAATTTAGGTATCTGTAACATAAAAGAATATAATGCTCAAATATAAAATGATAATAATTAACAATTTAACAAAAGCTTACACTATCTTCATTTTTTTCAACATGTCTTGTGTTTGATCCCTGCGGGATCGACTGGTGTCTTTGTGTCCATTCTGCTACTCGACGTTGCCCAGCCTCCTGCAATCTCTCACTTCCTCTTCCCTCCACCGACGGCAGTGACACGTTCAATTAAACAGGGCATTGTTGCTCGGGAACGACTATTTCATAATGAGATCGATGCCGGAGCCCTAAAGAGGGAGGATATCTCAAGGGCTCCATACTGTATATCATGCGAGCGGGCAGCATGTGGGAAAAAAAACAAAAACAAAACCCACCGTGGCCCTTCATCAATTGCCAGAGAGACTTTGAACCTGCAGTAAAGCTGCTCGGTAGCCAGCAGCCATGACGACCGTGTGATGAAGTCAGCATCTTCCTGTGTGAAAATTGCTGTGGTGTCGGAGAGGGCCGAGTTGCAAGCAAACGCCGTCTTGCCAAAGCTGTGTATCGAGAAGGTACTGACAGCTCGACTGGTTAGGTGAAAGCCCTTTCAGCCGCTTTCAGCTTTCTTTTAACACGAGTCGCGATTAAGTGTGTGAGCACCTTTGCTTTGTTTGTTGGCGTGTGCTCTTTGTGTTCCAGCTCAGCGTGGTCTCCATTTTGCTCCCAGCGTGCACATCCTGGGTTCAGTTGTGTTTTTTTTTTGTTTTTTTTTTCCAAACCAGCGCCACGTGGATCCAGGCCATCGATATTAACAGCTGGCCTCAGCATGACAGGAGCATATGAATACGCTTACAATCAAAGTCAAAAGAAAATGAATTTACCATCATAAAATGTCGACCTTGTAACACCCAAGAGCAATTGCGTTTCATAAATTGAATGGCGACAGGCCATCCGTCTCTCCACTTTCTCTGTTTATGCTTATCAGCGTTCCGGGTAGCCACAGCCGAGTGAGCGAGAGGCGGCGCAACCTGGACATTCTGTCATCATGCGTGACGGCGGAGGACCCAAAAAAAGCAGGAAGGCAGGCAGGCAGGCAGGAGAAGCGGGATGTACCCAACAAAGTAGCTCAACAAAAACACTTAGAAAGGCACACTGAGGGAAAAAAAAACGACATCAAAAAACACACACAAAGTCCTGAAAACCCCTCTTGATGAAAGCGTGAAGTGGCAGTCCTTTGAACTGAAAAGAAACGATGACACATGACCAACAGGTGCGACGCTGGAGGAGAAGCCCTCCGATGCCACCTGTTGGTCACAAACGGAAACGTCTCAAGCCTTCAGCGCACCTAACGGGCAGTTTGGGAAGTGCAAGAAGAAGCCATTCAAGTTCAAACGCGCTCTTTGCACTCGTCGTAGCAACAGACGCTCGATCTAGCAAGAAACGGCTAAATGTCCACAATATGTCTCGGTGGCTCGATAGTTTGCAGTGTCATTGTGGACCCCTCGGTGTTCATTAGAAGGGACGTGAGGAAGTGTGGCCCTCCTCGCATTTTTTTTCCCTGAGCAGTGATTAAAAGGGACGTCTAGATTTATTGAGATGAATTAAAAACAACAACAACTACTCATGAAGACAAAACCACATTGGGATCGGCGCCTTTTCCTTCCTTCGGCACACAAATACAAATGCAGATGGCTCGGAACGCGAACCCCAGCTGGTAACGGGAACACAGAGGGATGGGAAACGAGCCGCAAACGATTTTCATCAAGCGTGACGCATCCATTAGACGGATCACCGAGAAAGGGGGAGAAAAGTGTCGAAGGCATTAGCATAGGAAACTGCTCAATCAGTTCGTGTTATCGTGGGCGTGCAAATTCTTGAGCTGGACGCGGTTCAAGTTTGAAGGGGATGTGCGCTTTTCTCCGGGTACTCCCCTTTTCTCCCACGCTCCAAAAACATGCATGGAAGGTTCACGGAACACTCGAAATCGTCCCGGAGAGACAGTGTGAGCGCCCATGGTCGTTGTGGGGGGCGGGGCCACTGTTGAATTATTTGGGTGACCTTAAGCAGATAAAAGGGAAGAGCAACATGGCTTTTTCCAAGCGTGACCTGAATGAGTGGTGGTTGCAACATCCCATCAAAACAGCGCGGCATCATGACACTTCCAAGGACGAGACTGATTTTGAGAAAAATACCTGCATGGGGGGGGGGGGGGGGGCGCGAAAACCTTTTCGTAACACTGTCGAAGACGCAGCTTGCGGCGGCTCTGGCAACGACCGACTCCTCCAGTCGATGTCCTCGCGAGGAGGCTTAGGCCAGGACATTCAAGTGTTAACACTGCAAGCCGTGAAATTCGGGAACATGGCAGCTTGCGGCCGTGGATGAGATTGTGTGACGGCACTGGGAAAGAGAGAGCGAATGAAGGCCAGCTCAAAGAAATAACACGGGATTAATTAGCACCGACCGAGTAGCCGCTTCTTTAGCGGCCACTAATGACTCGTGCAGGCGGTCTTCGGATCAACGGCTTCAATTTCAATAACGTGCGCTTTGATCCGCTGTTTTTGGCCAAAATAAAAACAACATCCTATAGAACTTTTTTTTTTTTTTACTGCAAGGGAAGAAATGTGCTCCCAGAATAACAAGCTGTGCCTGTACGTGAAGGTCAGTATATAAGGAGCCATATTGGGAAGCAGGAGCGGGCGGTTGCGCATCAACACTGAAAACAAGAACAGGCAGTCCCAGGCATCCTTTTGATGCGTTTGATATGGTGCGCTCAAAGGAAGCGCCATGGGGGCTGAGCCAGACATGCAGCAGGAAGAAAACAGTGAGGGATGGAGACTGAAGGAACGCAAGGCAGATGAGAAGAAAAAGAATTTGATTTTTTTTTTAATGTGAGGGAGACACTTATTGCGTTTAGATGCCATGAGAGGAAATATCATCCTGGTATTGGGACAGACCAACCGATGAATCGGCAAAAATGAGGGATGACTGTCCTGCGGGCTTCGTCAAGGGCCCAAATGATGACAAGCGCCACAGAAAACAGACGGATGGATGGATGGATGGTGACAATGACACACCCCTGAAGGTTGTTTTGCTCGCTTTCCTGCTCTGCGCCATCCGCCTTCTCTCTTGATCCCTTCTTGGCCGCCGATGCGACAGTGATGTCAATGACTTCAGCGCTGCTCCAGAAAAACTGAAGAAAGATGCGATGCGCAAAGTGCTGGCGCGCCGATCTGACGAATGTTTAGTTTGGAGAGCCAAATACTCGTTCCATCGTGATCATTAGTTTCCAGTTTTGCACCGGCGTCCCGACTTTTGTCCTTTTGTCCATTTGCCTTTTGGATTTGATTTTGGTCTTTGAGTCGATACGAATGTAGAGCGGTTCTTACCCTTTTTTTCCAGTGTTATTTAAAAAGATTACAGCCACCACTCTTCTTGAAATTGGATTAATGTAATCCCTCCGCAACTAATCTGTCATATTCCAAAACGGCGGAGCTACTGTATGTGACAAGCAATGTAAGATTAGAATAATAATCAGAGTATAACCTGAATGAGAAACATCTTCGTCACCTTGGAAAATAATATGCCGACTTCTTGAAATACCCGAAAGCCGCCTTTAAAAATGATTGACGCGAATTTGACTCAAAAGGACACACGGAATCAAGGCCACACGGAGCGCCGGTCCAACCTCGTTTCAATGACGCCCCGGGCGCATCTCAAAGGAAACATATTGTCGTGGAGAACTCGCACTGATGATTCTGGGAACGATGTCAAACCTTGAGAGGAAGCGTTTTCAGTCAGGTCCAGCTCTGACAGGTTCCTCATTCCGACAAACATTCGGCTTGAGTGTGCCAATCTGGTTCTGTTCCCACATGAGGAACCGAAGGTTTAAGAGATCCTAAAAAAAGAAGAAAAAGGAACGTTGTTAAAACACTGTTTCCCAAAATTGGCAAAAATGTCTGTACCTTGAATCCCTCTGCTGGAAGATGTTTGATGCGATTTCACAGCGCCAGTGTCTTTGCACCAGAGAAGGTGCGAGGGTGGATGGACTTGATGGCGGCGTGTTCCAAGCTTACGCTTTCAATTTCAGAATGTTGGCCTGCAGGTCGGTGATGCCGTTCTCGCCTTTGAAGCGGCAGGAATTGGGATGATCACATAAATTCAGAAACCCAATCGTGACTTTGAGAGATGACGTTGTCAAAGACTCGCAATGTGCCTCGCGAGTTTGAGGACCCACGCATCTGAAGCAAGTTTGCAGGGAAAGACGCCAAGACCTCTCTTCTGACAAGCGGGCGAGATTCCAACCGCAGGCGACACATTCTCAATTGCAGCGATCAAATTGCTGTCTATCAACAATGGAATCCCTTTTTAATGACAGTTAGGCATCGTCAAAGGGTTTGAGAGGTCTCAAGAAAATCTTCGAGAACACAAGCACATTGACGCATTTACCTTTATTGTGGTCACGTCGTTTGATCGTTTTCTGTTCTATGTACAGTACAACTCACTCAGACAACCCCCCCACCCCCCAAAAAAAACAACAAAAAACTTAAATAGCGTTCAACAACATGACAACGGAATGTCGGCTGAGGGGGCGAACGTGGAAGGCAACAACGCGGGGAGAAAAAAATGACACATTCATAAGGACAAAGTGTGTGTACTACTGTAGTACTAAACATCAAGGATGTCAGTTCCATGTACGAGTACGCGCCATCTTCACTATTGTAATGACTGTCTTGCTAGTCACTTTTTTCCCCCTTGACTGGATTATATTTCTGCACAGGTTATACTAGTGAGGCAAAACCACAAGTGGGCATTTTGGTGCAACTAGAATGCCCAGCAGGCTACTAGTGGCAGACACACTGCGACCGGTGAGCACACGCGTTCACTGCGAAGGTTTAATGACATATGAGGAGGCCACCGGTTGCGTAGAAGGGTTACTTGGAAGACAGTCTACTAGTGCTGTCAAGAAGGAATTCCTGCGAGTGAGGACGTGGTGTACTCGTTCAAGGATGACCAACTAAATGCACATCAGTCATATCCAGCCAAAAAGGACTGGAAAAAATGTCACTTGTAAGATGGAATTTGATTCCTTGTGAGGACAAATTGGACTAAAACAATCGGGGGATGTTAAATAAATGCTTGCAGCGTAAGGGTATGTTCACCCCCCCTTCAAAAAAAAAACAACAAAATATAACATGTAGGGGGCGCTGTGCTCACACCATTTCTGTGTGCAAAATGATCAGTTGCCAAGACGGCCATTTTGAAGGTGCCACAGCGCCCTCTAGTGTTCTGTGCAACGCGGGCAGGGGAGCAGAGCCCCGCCCACCCCCAAAAAGGCACCTTTGACCACTAACGGCCGCTCTGTAACATTCAGCTTGCTCCCAGTTTCATCCTGTGACGTTAACAAATGAAAAAAAAAAAAAAGGGAATGTGGAGAAACAGCGGAGGAGGGAGATGGCGATGTCTACGTGGACGAACAAACGTGTGCTCGGCGACTCAGTCGCAAACCATTTGTGGTCCGTTGGTGCAATATTTACATACAGCAGTTTTGTTGCAAGGTGACAACGAGCGGTTTCGTTGCTAAAGGTACGAGTCCATGGAGGGGGCGTAGGAGAAGCCCACGAAGGCCTCGGCCGCCTCCTTGATGCTGGCCGTCACCAGCGCGCTGTCGGGCGAGCAGCCGATGGAGTTGGGCACCGGCTCGTCCGTGAACTCGGGGTCAAAGTGCCGCAGGTCGTTGGGCCCCGTCTGGACGAGGACCGCAAGCACAAATAGGGAGAGACATCTCAAGTGAGCAAACGAACCACAAGCATTGTTTGGGAAAATAAAAAGAATCGTGTACTTTGAAGCTTATTGACTTTTGCTATTGCTGTACGTCTAGAGCACAAGGAGGTCAGTCTTTTCAAAATTGGAGTTTACATCTTGCGCCGGACAAATAATCCATAGATTTAAAAAAATTACAATCAAACTAGTACAAACCCATGTAACAAATTTACTCAAAAATGAAAAAAAAAAAACTCGAAAAGTATGATGACAAATGCCACTCTCAAGCAGCAAATGCACGTCAGTGAGAAATCCAAATCAGGCCCTCCGGTGGGCTGCCCGCGTTGAGCACCAACGACGACCTTTTTCTTACCACGTTGGGGTTGAAGGGCGGCGTAATCTTCTTGCTGTTGAGCTCGTCCCAGTTGATGGGCGAGAAGAACACGTGGTTCTTAATTTCCATCTGTATAGAGAAAAATGGATCGCCCATCAGCAAACGAAAGCAAAAATAAATAAAGAAATAAAGGTGCGGGCCGAGACGAGCAGTACTCACAAAGTCGTCGGCGCAGCCCAGCCGCTTGGTCCTGTCCTTCTGCAGGAGGCCCTCCAGGAGGTGGCGGGCGGCGTTGGAGATGTTGGGCTTGAGCTGCACAGGCTTGTTCAGGATGTTGTCGTACATCTCGGCCGTGTTGCGGCTGTAGAAGGGCGGCTGCGAGGACACGCGGGCCAGTGGCGGTTAGTGTCCCGCCGCATGCTCACGCACTCGGCGGAAGGAACGGCGAGCCTCACCAGGCCGTAGAGCATCTCGTACAGGACGGCCCCTAAGCACCACCAGTCCACCGTGCGGTCGTACGGTTCTTTGTGGAGAACCTCGGGAGCCAAATACTGCCAAAGACAAAAAAAAAACTACGCGGTTAGCCAGGACTGAGAAACAAAAACAAGGAAGGGGTGTTGCGGGCTGGGGGCGCTTAGCCATCTTGTGGCCCGAATTTGACATACAAGAAGCAAGTTACGATCCCTTTGTCCTTTTAGAAAGCACAGATTTCATCATTGGACTTCCGGGTTTTGTTTTGAGGCCATTTTAAAAACGTATTCCAAATGGCGCCACTTTGGGGCGCTCTCACGCCAAATAAGCAAAAGAAAAATGGTAAACCTTGAACGGCAGCTGGGTTAGCCCATTTTTTAGATGCTCACTGGGCTCAAGTCTCACAGGATTTGAACTCCAACTTACGTCTGGCTCAAGCCAATTGTTTTTGGTTGAATTCCAAATGTATGACAGCGACACCCAAAAAGCCAAAGAAAAAGCACTTGAGATGCTGACCGAATTGGAATTTTTTTTTTTGAGCCACTTGCGGATTTTGTGGTGGTTACCTCGGGCGTGCCGCAGAAGGTGGAGGTGGTGCCGTTGGGCTCGATGTTCTCCTTGCAGAGTCCAAAGTCGGTGAGGACGACGTGGCCCTGCGAGTCGAGCAGGATGTTCTCGGGCTTGAGGTCGCGATAGACGATGTTGAGCGAGTGCAGGTAACCCAGCGCGCTGGCGATCTCGGCGGCGTAGAAGCGCGCCCGCGGCTCCAGGAAGCAGCGCTCGCGCTGCAGGTGGTAGAAGAGCTGCGCACAAACCACCGCGTCGTCAGCGGCTCAGTCGCCCTCCTTGCTCGCAAAAGATCACGTTTCCTTTTCTGACAAGCCTTTTTGATTCACGGCTGTGTCATGCGTTGGTTTTTTTTTAAGTTGTTACCATCATTTTTCAAGCCATTTTATATATAGCTTTTTAAATGAATACAAATAACATTTCATCGACTCCGATTGTCCTACAATGGCAGGAAATTAACTCCGTTTGGCGCGTGCGGCTGGCCGACAAGCTAATTGTGGAGATGGGTGGCGCGGCGCGTCTTCCTTCCCGACTTCCCCTTTTGAGATGCAGGCGAGGCGCCTGGCGGGCGCTCCTTTGGAGCGGCACGCGACTCACCTCTCCCCCGTTGATGTAGTCGAGGACGAAGTAGAGCTTGCCGGCCGTCTGGAAGGAGTAATGCAGGCCCACCAGGAAAGGATGTTTGACGTTCTTCAGCAGCACGTTCCTCTCCGACATGATGTGCTTCTCCTGAGTGGCCAAACATGAGACGACTTAACGCTTTGTTGACGTTCGCCGCCCATGCGCAGTCATGGGAGATGGCTTGCCCAAAACCAATGACGATTTGCGCTTACACGGAAATCACTTACGATTACTATTATGATGATTTTATTTCATTTGTCTCCTTACCTCCTTCTTCTTGAGGATGGCCTTCTTCTGTAGCACCTTGACGGCATAGAAGCGGTCGTCTTGGCGGTGGCGGGCCAGCAGCACCTTGCCGAAGCTGCCTTTGCCGATCACTTTGAGGAAGTGGAAGTCGTTGGGCTTGGCCGACGGGTTGGACGACGGGCCCAAGTTGATCTGCTGGGTTGGGCTGGGCTGTGTCAAACAACGCGTGTCACGTTAGCTGTGCAAGACATCCCTCTGAACACCCAGGTGGTTCAACCATACTGATGAGCGGAAATGCCATTCATCTGTTCTAGCCCTTGGCCAGTGTTAAGGCCAATGAGTGTAGAGAATTTTTTGATTGCTAAAGAGACTCACAGGAGGGGAGGGGTTGGTGTTCATCAGCTCAGCATCCTGCGGAGGACTCAGGTTCAGGATGGACTGCACCTCCACACTAAAACAAAAGCAATTACTAAATATGTAGCCTCAAAAAATTTGAAAAAATATACATTTATACTTGATATAATCCAAACTAAGTATTTATTTTAAAACATTTTCGTCAAATTAAAAGATTCAAATCAAACAAAACAATGCATGAAATCAAACTGTGGAGGGAATCAAAGTGAGCTGAGAGGCGTACTGACTGCTTGCAGGTGTAGGCGTTGGTGGCGAGCCTCTGAATGAAGTCGTTCAGTCCCATTCTCCGCTGTTTCATGAAAGCTGAAAGAAAATTCAAAGTCACGCTTGCGTTCATCCGTCGGGACACAAAAAACGATGCAGCCATCGCGACGCAGCTCCGTACCGCACACAGAGGCCACAAGGCCTTTAAACTTGGAATAAGTCAAGCCGGGCTGTCCTGTCGCGCTTTTGATCGTCATGTTGGGGGGGAGGCCAAGGCACGAAGGAACTCAACAAGGACATGTACAGAAGACGTAACTACTACAGCTTTCAAGTTTGCCTCTGTTTATATGACGAAGCCAGAAGGAGGCGTTTCCGGGTAGGAGTGACTGCAAGCGGCGATGTCTTGGCTCCTATTGGACGAGCCTATGCCGGCATGAGCCAATCAGAGGCCTCAAAGTATGACGAGCGCGTCACTCGGCCACGCCCACCCCTCCGTGTGATTGCGTCAAATAACAAAAAGAAAGCATCTTGAACGATCTATTTACACACTTTTCCCCGCAAATACTCACGTCGGAATTTCAGATCAACCACCTCGTGTGACGTAAAGAGTCTGACTGGCTGTGAAATGACCACCGAGACGACCCTAAAATGCTTCAAAATGCTGACAATTTTATCGCGCCCCGATGTGTCCGCAAACAACACGGAGCTCCCCAAATGACAACGTCAAGCCCCTCGAAAGTTATCAATATGTCAAACATTTTGGTGTGCCTCTAACAAATTGCCCTAATTTGTTGCCCATTGTTAGCTTTCGGTCTATGATTTTGCCTCAAATAAAAACAGTTCTCCGCAACATTTAATTAAGCTATAAAGCGTGGGCAAATGAAAAATTCGCAACATTTCGGTGCGGTTACGTTTCGATGCCCCTCCGCTCACACGTAAGTGAACTATTCATTTTATTGCTGATGGAAGCTTTTGCGCTATGATTGTGCCTCAAGTGGGTAGAGTTGACTACAGCATTTCGTAAAGGTATGAAGCGTGGGCAAAATGAAAATTCCTTACTTTTTGGTGCGCATACGACCCCCTCCCAATATAAGGCACAGATTAATGTAGACTTTTAGATGCGAAGTTGTCTTCGCAAGAACTTGCCAAGTGGATGTGCAAAGAATGCAACTCGCTCGATCAATTACTGCTCAATTATAAGGGTACCGAGTGACGCAGGTTCACCCAAAATAAGAAAGAAAAGTGAGAAAGTGAGAGAGAGCGACAGAGAGCAGCGAGCGTGAGAGGGGAGGGGGTTAGAAGCAAAAAAAAAAAAAGCGGCTGCTAGTGGAAAAGTACAGAGCCAGGGGATACACACTTGAGGGGTCTGAACATACACGAGTTTAATGCAAAAACAACAACACATGAGTTTAATGCACCCCGCCCCCCAAACTGCACCGATCTGTTGTACTTGACACTTGATCTGACATTAGGTAAAACAGCTTTAGTCTATGTCCCGAGTGGATGGACCCACTGGCAGATATTGTGCGAAAGGCCACGTCGACTTTTCCAAACAATAAAAGTGAGAATTGGTGAAAATTGAGGAAAAATCAAACAAAGGAGGAATATGTAGAGTACAGTATAATGTCTACACTAAAGTGCCTGTAGTTGAGAAAGTTGACAGGAAGCAAAACACATTTTGCACTTAAATCCCTGCAAGATTTTGGGGCACGTTTGAAATGCTTTATTTTGTATTTAAAGCCTGCTTGGGGGGGTCTGTTTTACCCAAAGTAGGTTATAGCTGTACGCTTACGTAATGCCCCCGAACCCCCGTTACATTTGTACGTCTATACATCCTCCCCAAGTTAATGATTGCCTTTTTCCTTCGGTTTTTTGAAGCGAGACGTCGTCACGGATGTTGCGTTCAAAGGCCGTTCGTACTCACACGTCCAAGCGGTCGTTGTGTCTTTCATCGAGACGTGGCGGTGTCGCAGGCTGCCAGTCAAGGTGGGCATCGAGAGGTAAGCACACTGGGGCGCATTCCTCAGCCAGGAGGATTTTCATCTGGACGCGTTTCTGCTTTTTCCCTCCTCCTCCTCGCTTCTTTCACGTCTCGAAGGCGGAGACGGTCCGCCTTCTCTGAGACGTGCTGCGTTCAGACGCTCAGCGGAAAAGTCGTAAATTGGACTTGCGACGTCGTTCGGCGGAAAAGCAGGGGCTCTCCCACCAACTTTTGGCCAAACTTAACGGAAAGCGGTACCTTGTAGTCGCGTACAAACCAAAAATGGCCGTGGTAACCGATGGGGTGGGGGGGAAGTAATTTGAAGAACTAATTTGAAGCCGTAACCCCAAGTGTAAAACCCTAGTTTGAAACCCTAACCCCAGTTTACAACTCTCATTTCAAACCCTAACCCTACTTCAAAACCCTCATTTTGTACCTTGATACTGGTTTAAAACCTTACTTTGAAACCCTAATCCTAGTTAAAACCCAAATTTTAAATTCTGATTGAAACCCTAACTCCGGTTTCAAACCATTCCTGAACACCTATCCCTCATTTAAAACCCTACCTTGAAACCTTAACCCTAGTTTGCCTGTCATTACACATTCGTTGACAAACGGAACCATGGAAAATGTGGTCGACTGGGGTCGGGGGGCCGTGCCCCGGATGACCTCCCCCATCCCTCTTCATATGTGGAAGTGTCCACATTTTAGTTGTAAATGTAGGTCAGCGCTTGTGGTGCTGTTTCAGGCTAGCTCAATGCTTTTTTTTGTCCCTCTCCTGTTTGATATAAAAATATCTGCATTCAAACTGTGCCAGTTTTCTCATTGTGAAATTTCGAGCCTCCTCGCTAGCTACAGCGTCGGCCACGCCTCCTTGCTCAAACAGCACACTGGCACGCTAAAGAGCAAGCGAGCAAAGGCTCCTGCCGGCCGGCTGACCGGGAATGAAACAACAAGCTGGATTGAAAAAGAACAGAGCCAGTTTGTTAAACTGAGTGTCCAGTGGAACAACTTGTGTCATTGTGACAACGCTAACTGAGCGCCTTGTTGTCTCACAAAGACAGCGACTTAGCGAGCGAGCCACCGGGAGAGGCGCTAGCTCATCAACGCGCCACTCAAAGCGCTGCAAAAACAAGACGCCGATTGCGATTTAATGGGGTCCCATGAGACATGGCCCAAGGTCAAAGGTTGAATAAGCGCAGTGTCACAAGTTGGGAATTTTTTTTCCCTTTTGACATTTTTTCTATGCAGCAGCAGAACATTGTCCACCTGTGTGGACGTGCCCTTAAGGCCAAATCAAACATGCACACCCACCACACAGCTGCACAATCAACGACATCAACAACAGGCGCGCCCATTTGACTGTCTCGACATGTTTTTTGCCCCCCCCCACACACACACACACGATGGAATATGGACCTACGCTTGGTGATTAAGTGGCCTTCAGATCAGCTGCAGCTCGAGTTATTATGTGGGGAATCAAACAAAAGTCACAATTAAGCTTCAATACAAAACGAGACCACTTGCGAGGAGCTGCTGAATACTGCCACTCTCGCCCAGATGTTCACACAGCCAGATAGAATCCAGCTTGTCATGTTGCTCCAAAGGCCACGCCCCTTAAAGCCACGCATCCAAAGCGCAAATACTACAGTACGGAGAGCAATAAAACTTATCTGACATTCTGCTGCAGGTTTCCAGTTCATTTCAATGTTCATATTTTCATACCGTTGTTTTTTTATTTTTTTTTAAATCTTGGTACTGGACTTCAACATGTAAATCGAGGTGCCGCTGTTCAACAATTTCATGTCTGGTGGCCAGTCTTAAGGGACCAATTTGGCGAGAGTCACAGATGGCGTCCAAGCGACTTGTTTTTTTCTCACTCTCTCTCTCTTTCTCTCTCTCTCTCTCTCAAACACACACAAGGCTTTTATTTGTGTGTGTGTGTGTGTGTGTGTGTGTGTGTGCGTGTGTGTGTTTGTGTGTTTAAGTGTGTGTATATATTGAGCTGTCTAACTATTCCATCCTCATTCACATTCATCGCCCGACAGTTGCCATTAAACGCTGCCCCCTCCAGTCCCCGCTGGGCCAAATGACACAACAGCCACCAAAGAAATGGATGAAAATTTTCATATGAAAGGCAGTTGGGGGTGGGGGCTGATGATGTTTACACTACAGTGCTAATATCCGCCGATTGGCATCGCCTCGCCGCCCTTCCTGCGCTCTCTCGAACGGACCTCCCAACGTGTGTGAGTCACACAGGGCTGGCATCCCGAAAATTGCCACTAGTGGCTTACATAATGCGCACGCACACAAACATAGTCACCAAGCAGACCTGAGGAAAACATGGGAGTGGAGCTTTTGTACACTTGAAGCCTTTAAGGCGTTGGGCTGGGATTGCACCATATGTGAGTGAGGAGTTCACTATTTTTTTTTAAATTATTCCACTGGGGAGCACAGCTCTTGGGAGGCGGGCACACACACATGACCATTCATGTCAAGACTAGCAGGCCACATTTAAATGAAATGAAAAGAGCTGCTATGATTGCCGTGATTGACGTCGACTGTGACCACCGCGTGTGTGGCACAGGCCTCCTCCTTGCAGATGCGGTGGCCAGCACTCGTCTGCAAAATCACCAGCATCAAGTCTCAGAGATACACAATGAGCTGGGCCATATTCACGCCAGACGTGAAAACAGGGCCCTCGGTCACTGGTGTCAAACTGCTGGCCTACTCGGCACCCACGTTGGGGTGATGCTCCGAGTGGTTGGAGACACACAATATTCTCCTCAAATATCCCAACTAAAATTACATCAGAGTGCAAAGTGTTGACCACACCGCAAAAAGAATCCAGGAGCGGCGATGTGTGTGTGTGTGTGTGTGTGTGTGTGTGTGTGTGTGTGTGTGTGTGTGTGTGTGTGTGTGAGTGAAAGAAGACTTAGCAATTTTGGTTTTGGAAACACATTACATTAGAGCCAAATAAGAATGGGATGATGGAAGGAAAGTCCTGTCGTATCTTGCTGAATCATTTGCAAACCGAACAAGCGGGAGAGGTCAACATGCACAAATGGAAACAGCCGACACTCATAATACTAGAAACACAGTCTGATTACGTTGCGGATCAAACGGAGTCTTTTTTTGGGGCAGCGGGTATGAAACGTTTGCTTGTCTGAAGACCTGAACTGCAAACTCCCAATGATGACATAGCCGTCTTGGCAGAGGTAAAAGTACACAGCAGCAGGAATGGTGAAAGGGAGACAACAGCCGTCTTATTAGCAGTCGACTTACCGTTGTCGCCGGGGCAACAGTAGCTGTCTGGCTCCGACTCGTTGTGGTAGTAAAGGTCCACGGCCTGCTGGGAAACATTTGGTCTCACTCAATGCAAGACCCATGACAGAGAACCTCTGCTACCTTTGCTCCTCTCGCAATATCTAAAAACTATTTAGCTAACTAGCTAGCTAATTAACATATACACACAGATATATACATGGGTGAAGGCCCTTTTATCGGAAATCGGCGACCATGTCCAAGACTTTTGGGGAGCAGGGTTAAAATTGCCCCAAGACGTAAGGATTCCTGAGAGGGTGACTTGCCTTTGTGTCACCCAAAACTTTGCAAATCAAAAAACGGCACGATTCAAGAAACATTGACTTCTTTCTTGCGCTTGCCGTATGAGGTTATAAAAATCAAGTCGTCCAGTGGCTTTCTCACGGGGTCGTGCTCCACCGGTTGTGGGTGACAACTTCTTGGCTCCTCACCAACGTGAAGGCCCCTTTGCAAACAACACCGCACCCTAAACCGGCACTTGGCAAAAAGACACCCAGACGCCTCACTGCCCCACTTTCCTGTTACCCAATGTGCTTTAATTAAGCTGCGTTGCCAGGGCGATACCGCCAGCGACCCCACTGACGGCCCCCCGCACCCCCGCAGGGCGCCATGTAATCTGATGAGCACAACATCTGTTTCTGTGAGCGTTTCTCTGGCACTGCACTTGATCCCGGATTTATTTGGAGTAGGTGAGTCATCGCAACCACAAAACTGACACCTTTTCATGTGCGGTCAGAAATGGAAGGTGACTTGATGAGAATCATTTCATATTAAATTGAAATACAATCAAGCTAAAATAGTTAAATTATTGTGACTCTTCCTCTCATATGCTGACATTTCCAAACGGTAACGAAGTGGAACAACTAGCCTGCGTGCGCTGTCGCGGCTGCCAGGCATCGTCCAGCACGTAGCCGATGTAGGGCCCGCTGCACACGGCGCACTCCAGCATGACAGGGCTGGCCACAAAGGGGGGCGTGGCCTGGACGCCGCCCTTCGACTTGCCGTGGCGGCCCGACAGCGTCTTCCACTTCCTTACCTGCAAAATGACATCCGTGTTGGTGCGTTGACACGTGAATACGGACTCGTTTTCCCCATTTAAATGAATAATGAAAATCCTTTGATTCATCACTGTTCTCACTCAAAGGCGAAAAGAAAAAGAGTTTCGGATGTTTGAAATCACGCTCGACGCCGTTGCCCCCCAAGACGGGCCGTTGGGCCCGTCGCCGCCGTCCTTCGACATGCCGTGGCGGCCCGACAGCGTCTTCCACTTCCTTACCTGCAAAATGACATCCGTGTTGGTGCGTTGACACGTGAATACGGACTCGTTTTCCCCATTTAAATGAATAATGTAAATCCTTTGATTCATCACTGTTCTCACTCAAAGGCGAAAAGAAAAAGAGTTTCGGATGTTTGAAATCACGCTCGACGCCGTTTGCATGTCCGTCGTGCTCCTTTTCAGGTGGTTTTTGGTTCCCGCGGAACCTCGCAACGTGCCGTCGTCTCCTCCCATTGTGCAAGTGCATAAACAGAGGAAGGATCGACATGACACAAATCCTATTTACCCTCTGCGGGGAGGCTGAGCGGGACGTCTCGCTTGCCCTCGCGTCGCCATAGCAACCCACTTGCGTGCAGTGTTGGCCAAAGTACTCGCGCTCGGTACATCATGGGAAGATTTGGGGTGACTCAAATGTGAGGACATCTTTCTTTCGATGAGCTCTTCCCCGGAGCCGAGCCATAAAACGCCACATCAGGCTATTGTTTAGGCGTGGCCATTTTGGGGGCTGGAGGATTCACTAAAGAAATCGACGACATTCCCCTCAAAATGCACACTTTGGACATACCATGGGGAAAAAAGTAAAAGGCCAAGCGCAGCCTTCATGTGTGACAAGCAACTAATTAACTCACTGTCTCCGGGAACAAGCGGTAGTTGGCGCGATTACATCACCGGGGAGTGCAATGGTCAAAGCGGCGGTAAAATGTGTCATTGGTTGCTAATAGGGAAGCTCGGG